TCAATTTTAGAGGATGACTGTTGTCACTGAGACTATTAAACCTAGATTGATGCCCTATAGAGAGGCCACAATTTCGTGGTAATGGGTTTGTGAAGAATACATACGCGCGAGATGATGGCGTGTTTGCTGAAAGCGAGTATTCTCCTCTTTGATGATTACGTATTAATTAATCACTTAATGAAGAACAGAAACACGTAAGTGAACAATATCGTTGGTACGTTAAAGTCCTTTTCTTACTCCGAAATTACGTATAGGCTGCGTAGATTTTTATGCGAATTTCATGTCTTTGAAAACGAAGTTTAGGAAGACAGACTTTTCAGTTAAAAAATCGTTGGTATATCACATGCATCCTCTGTTCAATTCTCTGTTCAATTATAGTTAGAATTTAATTAATTACGAGAATGAGGCGAGATTGATGGTATTTCTAGAAGTTGAAATACGCGACTGCATTCAACTGCAACCAGTGAATTTCAATTCGCCACGCAGAGTGAAACGATTGATTGATTGATGAAAGTGAAGTATAGGGAATTTCCATCTTGCCAGGCAAGGATACACATGTGATGACATCCTTGAATCGTAGCCAGCATCCTACAAGCATAGCGATTTCTTGTGACGTTTGACCCGCTTCTATTGGATGAGCGTGACGTCACCGTAGGAAATGTCAGATCAATGGTCCCCAGGGGTTGGTGGCACTGCTTTGCCACCTTTATGTTCTTCGTGTTTCGTTACCAGCCTCCGCTTCCGGTAAACACACTACCCACACGAGTTTTTTTTTTTTTCACGAAAATTATCAAGAATAACGACACGTATATATGTTGCAAACTCTCACACAGTTCTGCTTCACAGTTCTTCTAAATTCTACCTCGCATATATCTGTGAAACCGACACACTCGACATTTTGAGCCACTCGTTTGTCAGATCGATTAATCCCGCGAAATGCAAGCTAGGAAAGAGAAAATAGACTGCAGTCTGTTTTAAAATTCTTTTTGAAATTTAAGCTCGAATGAATGTTGCAGGATGTATTATATGTATCAGGCGTAGGCGATGAAATGCATGAAATGCTTGGGAAATAAATTATTTATTATTCCACGTCCGAAGAAAGTTTCGTCATTCAGTGGCGCTGTGAAAGAAATTTATTTTATGATTATTAAATTAATTATTGAAATGATTTAATAATCATAAATTTGCTTCAATCGCTAATTATTAAGAAAACGATTGAAGCAATTATTATTAATTACCGAAGGAAATTATTTTAAATACTACAATGCTATAATACTGAAATTTTAAATAATTCAAAACAACCTGCGAACAACTTTTCCTTATACATATGTTTAAGACCATTGTGTATTAATTTTTTGCTAAACAAATTTCAAATTGCTTTCGTATCATCCATACGATCATTCTCAAAATCACAAGATAAAAGTTCAAATGGTTATTCGAATACTTTTGCGTACCACTGCACGCGATGCCATCGATAAAACTTACCTTTTCTCGTCAAATAAGTCCGAAAGAGAAAACGACGCTGTCCAATTCCCTTTTCCCATCGAATTACAAAGCGTGCACCGGCCGACGAACAAGCCAGGAAGATAAAGAGCAAAGAAACAGAAGAAGAAGAAGAAGAAGAAGGAGTAGTGCACTCTGGAGAGGTCCTTGCAGCGAACGAGAGAGAAAGAGAGGATTAAATTGCTTGTTTCTGGCAGCTTGGCGCGCGGGAGCAGTAACACGTTGGATTTTCAGAGATATTATTACGTAACGACACTCTTTTACCCCTGTGCTTAGGTGCACAAGAACCTCTGGGCACTTTTGTTCGGAGGCCTCGTTATTTCGAGGGGACGTCAGAAACTCGTACTCGTTACCAGGCCGTGCATTGAAACGCGACACACAAACCCGGACACGGATTCGCGGATCTTCTCTTCTTTTATCTCTCTCTCTCTCTCTCTTTCTTTCGTTTTTCCAGCTCGCGATTTCCAGCTCCTTTTCTACCTACTTTTGCCCGTTTTAATCCTCGGGTGTTCGGGTTAAAAGCAACGGCTGGCCGATTCCAAGACAATGCCAGTTCTACGATTCCGACGTTCAATGGAATCAGCGAATCAAAGTAACTGGCAATCTCCTGGACCGGCTGTACGAAGGCGTATATTCGACGTGACCTTTTCCCTGGCTTGGGATCAGCGCCGAGTTTTGTTCGAGCAACGCGATAGAAACCACCTTCGGAGTTACGTCGCGATACTATAGACACGATTAAACAGATAACATTTTAGGGAAAATTGTAATTAACAGGAAACACAGGGGAACTTTGTACGATTTCAAGATTGAGATTTCATCCCTTTGAGTTTCACTTTCTGTTTTTTTTTTTTTTTTTGTTATTATATAAATTAATTTTCATTTTAGACACGTGGGAGTAAAGTATTTTAAAGTTTGGAAGTAAAGTAACTTTCTGGCCGGTTTTTTTAGAACGAGTCTGAAGAAGCATCAGTTTTGGAAAATTCGTAAATAATAACTGGGATAACATTCGACGACAAGTCACGTTAGGTAACAAGTAGCAAGTTGTTCGCGAGAACCAACATACCAACATCTAAAATACCTATTGGGACTTCGACTGAATATAATTCTACTCGATATTATTATCAAAAAGTTTACAGTTTACGTATTTTTGAAAAGTTTTACATTAAAACTTTGTTTGGGGCGTACGTAACTCGTTGGGATTGAAAGAGTTGATGTGTTTCTTATCGAACGACATTGTAACAAATACACAATTAACTGTTGTAATAAATACGCAATTAATTATTTTATTCGATGTCGGAACAAAGAATTGAGCTCGCAATTATTTAATTACAAGAGCCATGAATTAATTTGCGCACCTAATACGGCAATTCGATAAAATTTAAAGAAATTGAAATACTCGTATTCACAATATAATATCATCATTTAAAACTGATCTAGAGAAAGACACAGGATATCCAGATATACTTCTTGTACCACTTTTTGTTCACAAACTGTTCTTCAGCCAGGATCATTTATTTTCTTGGGACTCTTCAAGGCTGACTGCAAGCAGGTGTTCCTTGATAAATTGTCGATGAATTATTGAAACGGTGCATGCAACATCTCCAACGTTTTCTCGGTGGACCGAGCGTATGCTCTGTATATTTCGTACCACAATTTCGAGTCCGCGTGCTCATCAATGAACAGGCACGACTGGTTAATTAAACGATGGTTAATTAACCAGTCGCCACGGCGTCTTGAATTATCATACACTTGAATGCTAAATAGAGGGGCGACCTGATTCCATCCTCCATGGAGTGAATCAGCGAAAAACCGGTGACCACGGAAGATAGAAGCTAGGCCAGTGAACAAAGAACAGAAAGACATTGGTGTGGTCGCTTTCATGCGCGGGGAAATAATCAAGCGCCTGGTGAAAAGAGCGCGGACGCTTATCTGCGTCGATCCCAGAGTTCACTAACCCTAATGTCGCACCGGTACGTTCGCGAGCGAGGTGGAACTCGTTTTCCTAAAGGTAGGGAGGGGAGAGCAAAGATAGAGGGTGACAGAGGGTAAAGATAAAAGTAAGAGGAAAAAGAAATGGGCGGAGAAGAAGAGGTTGAGAGCCAGGTGGAAAAGGGAACCGAAGAATAGACCGACATCAGCAGATCTACCAAACAGCCATGCGTTGTGGGTGTGCGAGAGCAGCGTGCTCGCGGGGGTTTGCGGGAGAAGGAGGAAGAGCGCAGATTCCGTCGTTTCTTCCCGGGTGGTTCCATCCCTCCTCCCTTTATCGATCCTTCTCCAGCAGAGCAGTAGCGCAACATCGTCGCTAGGAATCAGCAACGGGGACCATGTACCACCTCAGTGGATACCCGGCCACTATGCCGGCAGAACTGTCTTCGATCCTGCCGTTTTACGTGCATTGCGTCATGCACACCCTCGATTGTATAGTCACGCTGATCGTGGACAACCACGTACGACTGATTTCACGAACCCTTTACTGGTGGTGGTTGGTTCGAAGATCGATTGATTGAAAAATTGTACATGACGATTTGATGATGACAATCGTACGAGATTTTAGTTTGAAAATCTTTTGTGAATTATGACGAAGATTTGACAAAATTTGTCAACAGATAGTTGTACTTGTTGTACTTATGTATGAATTTGATAGTTCAAAGCTTGTAACAACGTACATGAAAATATTCGGAGCTTATTTCATCTACTTGAAGCATCATACTCCTTTCGTAGTTAATTAATGTCGAACTTCATTTTCTGTCACACTACGTTTTTACTTGAACAAAAATAGGAACAGAATTGACACGATTACGATATCAATCCTCGGCTCGATCCTCTAATTATCCTCAGTATTTACAAATTGTAAATTACAAATTCAATGGAAACCTTCTACGATAAATCAGCCTCTAGCGCTATCTTAGCATCTGTTACACAGGTTAACGTACTGCGACAGTTACAAATTTGCCATCAACCTCTCACAATGAATTTCAATGGATTCGACAAATAGTCCTTGGCAAACACCCTCTCACGCTGCCTCGGAATCTATCGTACACCGTCTACAACAAATTCCAAACAGAATTCTTCCAACAATAAATTGCAGTAGGCTCGACAAAATCCCCCAACGCCGCCTCGCGCGGTATCGTCCAGGCAGAATCCATTATACAGGTTAAACATCCACCCCGCGAGTCCCCCAACAATTAGCTTATAAATCTACAATAAATTCCAGCAGCTCAAACGAAATTTCCCACAGAGTGTCCCCCCCCTCCAAGCGAGAAACCTGCTCGCAGAACCTGGAATACAGCCAGAATCCTGCAACACACGAGCCAAACACCGACGAAGACACTCGTAGCGGTGGAAAAAGCGTTCGCACAGGTAGAACCCGGTACGATGTTGGATGCGCAGTGCACGGATGCGCGTCGGAACCGCGGCTCGGAGGATCGTGAGAGCCAGAGCCGCGTACGTAGTTACAACCCTGCTTGCGGCTCGTACGCGCAGGCGGTCGAAGTTCCTCGAAGACCGCCAAAAAGTATCGAGGGTGGCTGGCGGAGAACGGCGATCGACGACGGATGGGACCGAAGCGAGGCGAACAGCCACGAGCCAGAGCCGTTGCGCGGTTTGCCTCGTTGTAGGCGCGCAGTGCAGCCGCCGGTGGAAGTAGCCTCGCAGTCGCTGCTCGGCGACGTTTCAGCTGTGCTGAGCGCCACGAGGAACGTCTCGTGTCGCCCGGCGCTCTGGCGTTCGTGCTCTCACCCTTCTCGTGCTTTTTTCCGCTCGTTTCTCCGCCGCCTGTTCATTCATCGTGCACGCGTGCACGTGCCCGATCGAATCACGAATCCCGGTGGACAACCATCGTCTGGCGCGGTCCACCATCGCAACGAAAACCGAGACCACCGATCACGACGTAAGTGCTTTGTGACAACGGTGTTGCTTAGATACATAGTCAGTCCCGTATTTCTTTCCCTCCCGCTGTGACATTGGTGCTGATATTGATATTCGAGAGCCGAGTCGCGATATGTTCTTGTATCTAGTATGTTGTAGACGTGCGTACGTACGTAGAACTTTCGGGTGAATCTTTTTTTCGGTGGGGTTGGTGTTGGATTGGACGACGGGGATTGGGTTTGCCGAGTGCGTTGACGGTAAAAGATGGTAAGGTTAAGTTCAAGGGGTAGGTCTGTGTCAGTGTTTGGAAAGGATTCGCGGTTCTTTCCGCGTCGATGTGCTATCGCTTGGTGTGCCCTCGGCCAATCGCTGGTTGTGTTTACATATGCGGTCGAATCGGCTGGCTCTCTGCTGGCTATCCTTGACGATGAACGGCCTTCGTAACTTGGTCGAATAAATTCGCAGCGGGTTCGTTGAAGCGTGCCGAGCCTAATCGGATAAACATTTCCTGGATACGATACGATCGCGCCATACTATGAAAAATCTCGGCGAATGCTTCATTTTATCAGACGGATAGCCAGTGTTATATCGTCGCGATTCAAACAGGAAACTGAAGAATCCAGACGTGCAAAGAGTATAAAAATTCTTCTTGCCAGCTCGTGACGTTCCAACAACGTAAAGAGAATGTAAATGTCGCAGCGGGACGTTCTGGTTAGTTGTTTACCCGTTTGTTTAATTAAAATCTCGCGCATAATGCGATAAAATTGTACACGAAACCACCGCGTTATTTCTGTCGGCCCAACCCCTTTCAGCTGGTCTAAAGTTACACGTTCGCTGCAATACGATAACACTAGGCTAGCGTACTCGAAACGTTAATGATACTACAATGGAGGCTAATGAATGGTCGATTCGGTGTTCTATTCGAGCGTGTCATTGAGCAAAAAACCGTATCATCGAGTGACCAAATCAAAAAAGAAAAAGGAAAAAGGAAATCGATTAAAATCAAAATATCAACCCCTTGTGTACGTGTGTGCGTGTGTGTGCGCTCTCTCTCTCTCTCTCTCTCTCTCTCTCTCTCTCTCTCTCTCATTCTCTCTGTCACGGCATCAGGTTTCGCGCGGAGTCACGTGAGGGATGAGGAAAAGTGTGGGCAGATCGATTCTAATCGTGCAACACACGGCACAATCGAAGCCGAAGCGAACAGTGAATAACAGAGGGTGGAAAACTAGCATAAAAATAGAAGTGAGAGCCACAGGACGTGTACTTGGCCGTGTAGCCTATGCGATACGATGTTATCCTGTCGCGGTGGGTGTCCTTGTTCTTGCGACCGCCATTACGACATGTCAAGGCGAGACGCATATGTACGTGTAATATTAGATCCCGTACGATAATCGTCGTGATAATAGCGTAATAATTTCTAGCCGCGTGGTTGTTCGACCGCTCATCGACGTTATCTTCCTCCGCTCATTGTTTTTCTTCTTGTCGTTCTTTTCTTTGGACTTTCTATGAGAATTTGTCTGTAAGAATTTGTGGATTTTTGTAGAATTGTATGTATATTATATAGATTTTCTTCTTTGGAAGTTTGTCGTGGAAATTTGTCTCTAGGAATTCTATCTGTGCGTTTTTATGGAATTACACATATCAAATTGTAACGTAAAACGTAGTCGAAATTTTGATATGATAACACAGTAATTTCTTCGGTAGTTTCTTTTAACTTTTGTACTAATTTTCATAGATTTCCACGGTATTGTTCTATTTTTTAAATTGTAACAACAATAATCTAATAATTTTCTAGAATATAGTTTAATTGATCTTTACATTATCCTCCACATCGAATCCATATTTCTTCCAGTCTTATACATCAATTATATATGCATTCATCATGTCTTATTCCTTCAATTAGTACAATGATAAAATAATTATTTTCCTGAAGCATTCTCAATATTATCCACTATTTCCAAATCAAATATTTTTTCTAATTTCTCTTTTTTACATTTTTTACAATAATGTACATGTTTATTGCTCCTAATTCCTCAACTATCATCATAATAATATAATAATTTTTCGAAGTAAAAGTTATTATATTTTTTCAGTTAATTTCAGTTATTTTAGAGAAAATAACCTTTCTTTCTCTCCTTTCTTTTTTACCTTCCTTTACGTTCCTTTTCCTCAATTTCCACACGGATCCACAGAATTCCATACTCAGCAGATTCTCATAGAACTGCGTATTCAGTCGTGCTTTCCTCAGGAAATTTTTTGCCGGGCGAAAAAAGGCGGAAATTGCGCAGAGACGCAATATCCGCGTAGCCGTGGCTCGTCGTGGAATTTTTTCGGAGCCAGTCGCGGTGAAAAAAACGGGCGAAATAACCTTGCCCTTGCCTAGAAAAACAACGAATCCCCAAGGTGGCATGCGTTTCTACGGTGTCGGGTGCACAACGTCAGTCGATATATCGACTCATTTCCGATAATGTATTGCCACTCGACGCGATAACACGTACAAAGCCACACGCTTAGGTTACGTTACAGACACAGGGAACACCGAAGATACCTTCCCTCGAAAACGTATCAAATTTCTTACATTTTCGCCTGCCCTCGCGATACAACACTTCATGTACCGAGTTGTTTTTTTTTTTTTCATGGTTTTAGTTCAATTGCTAGTAGAACAATGTGCGCTCCATTTGACACGTTTTCTTATCTTGAAACAACAGTATCGAATTTCTATCTTCTAATGGTTTGTACACTATTGTATTTGGTGGATCGTATTTCTTTCTTCTTTGTGACACTTGGAGTTGTTTCATCTAGTTTAGAATCTAGAGTTTAGAGACACGAATAGAGTAGCGAGTAGTATTTGTGAGTCACAAGGAATGTCATTTCATAGATAGATTCAGTTGAATTAGTTGGTTTTTAATTAGTATTGGAACTGTCGAACTTTAATAATATATATTTTATATTTATAATGTTACATGCTATCTTTCATAAGTCATTGGGATTTCAGAATTGGGGATTAAATAGAAAATTGACATTTATTTGATTAAGATAATACGCATACGTTACTGATATATTAATAATTTTACTTTGAGACGCAATTTGAAATTCATAATGTAAAAATAAACCTTCTACAAGACGAATTTCTCTTTATTAAAGCTAATAATAGATTGTCTAGATAAAGTAAGAATCACAGGAATCTCAATTTACATAAATATTCGTTTAAATTTACTAATTACGTGTACTGACTTACGTTTTAAGATTTGAAAGATCCTCTCTGTAAGATCCATGTAGTAAGATCTGTAAGATCCACATATTTTCTATTGTTGAGTAACTGGAAGTAGAACAAAAGGAATTGTTGGTATTCCTTGCTCAGTCCTTGTGTGTGTCTTTGATCTACTTTCTTCATTCTTGGAATTTCTCTTTGATATCCTTGCACTATTTTTTTAATGGCTGGAATTCTTTTTCATTTCGTCCTACTCAGTTCTTTTTTATTGCTGAAATTCTTTCTTCGATGCCCTCGCACTATCTTATATATGTAAAGTTCCTTCTTCTTTTCTTATGTTCTTACACTTCAGTTTCTTTTTTATTACTGGAATTCTTGAAGAAACGTTCTTGTTTCTTTTAAAGTTTCTACGTAGTTCTCTTTTATCGCTGAAATTCTTGTTTAGCACTGTTATTTCTACGTCTAGAATTCCTTTTTCAATTCCATTTCCTTATTTATCACTGAAATCTTATTTTTCGTGTTTTTACTATTTCTTATTTATTCTTCTAATAAATTTATTTATTTAATTTTCTTTTGTTTCTTTATCAAATTTATTCTTTTAATTGATTATTTATTAATAATTTATTCTTTTTTATCGTTCTTATATTCATCGAAATTTTGTTATCCTTTTCTCTTATTCTTCGTTCTTGCATCCTTTTTATTTCTTTCTCTTTCTTCAAAGATATAAATTATAAAAATCTATAATCCATTTATGATACTTTAAGATATGTTGTTATTTGTTGCCACTCTGCATTTTGAAAAAGAGTAACGATTACGAACCTTTATTATTTGTGAAAATTTATCTTGTGATGATAAGTCCCTGAAGATAAAAACTCGTTGAGAGGTTATTTTTTAAAAATTTAATATTAATCCTCTATCTATTCTTCTATATATTTCTGCTGAAATTAAAAAATTAATAAAAAAAAAAAAAGAAATTGGAGTTGATCACTTTGATTTCCAAACCACCCTCTAATATCTTATCCTCACTTTAAGCTTCATTAAAACATAGAACTAGTCAGTGTTGTTGAATTAGTCGATATACCGTGACTCGTAATACCGTGACTCGACTTACAGTTTTGAATTTCAAGATATCACGAAGATTTCTATAATCGTGCCACCAGAGACGGAGTAACGCAGCATCTCAGGTGCAAATTACAACGAACAAGGGGTGCATGACCTAGCGACGGGTGGCGTAACAGCTCGCGTATTTCTAGAGCAGTTGGTTAAGAATAGCACGGCAAGTAGACGGCTGAATTAAATATAGCCGGTGAACGACCGGCTAGCATATTACGAAATTTCATTGAAGTCACGGAAATCCGTCGGAATATTGTCAAGTCGATAGACAGATCCTCTCGAACCGGCAAAATAATCAATACGTTGATATTAGATCGTCGTACGTGTTACAGTTTCACAAGTGTGTGAAATCAATTGAAATTTTGCGACTTTAAAAATGTTGTTAAATAATAGTTATTAGATGCAGATTATGACCAGTGTCTTGATAATTGCTTTCAGTCTGAAACGAATTATGTATTAATAGTCAACCACTTATTTCCAATATTTCAAGGGAACTGTAAACATTTAAAAATTGTAAGAATTCTTTAAATAATTTAACGTATTAAGAATATTTGTTGTTAAGAATATTATTAAAATAAATTATTAAGAATTGTGAATAAATTTTTACTAAGATAAATTAATTTCAACGAATAATACTAAATTTGCTGTTAGAAATGTTGAATATCTCGATAACAGTTAGGAGAAACATTGATACTTGTACTAAATAATTCTGACGAAAAATTTCAAATTCTTTTTCCAATAATCAAAGTGTTACAAAGGAAAAGGCTAAGTCATTGACGTATTTTTTTCTTTTTTTCTTTCTTTTTTTCCTCCCCTCATTCTGATCACCTACAGAGAGTTAGTTTCGTTGCACATGTTTCAGGAAGACATTAACAAGGATTATAAATATCGGGAAACGAGTGAAGAAATACGGATGACAAGGGACGTGGGACTGTAAAAAACGATTTGATGGAAAACCAATACCCAATAGTCATCTCCCGCTGACCTAGAACTCACCCGGTTCGCCTGCTGAACTTTTATCAGCACATTGAAATTCTTTACGAAACGTATAAAAATTCCAATCACTTATATAGAGAATCATTCCCGAGGACTGCACACGGGTATCCAGCGATTCTTCTTTTCACAGCTGGCGAACTCCGTGTGGAAATTTTCAGTGTTGGTAGGAATTCAGGTTGTCTAATTAAATGTGGAGCTGTAATGGCCAAAATGAACTGAAATATAATTGAACAATGTATACTAAAAAATGTAGGTAAATAATAATTAAATGTAATTAGAAACTGTTTAATTGTGAGATAGACAAATAATAATAATGTCTTGTTCCTCTTCATGTAGTTTTCAATTTTTTATTAAATTCCTAGCTGTTTTCTTCGTGACGTTTCGATTATCGGAGAAATTGATCAGTTTTACATTTATTGAAAATAATTCGAGAAGACTTGATATATTTCCACAATTTCAATGAAGTTTATTAATATAAGTACTAATTTACTCTGATAAATATTTCAAACTTTGAAAATTCAAGTTTCGAGATATTTTACGTCTTCTTAACTTAGAATTTTCATTCGAATTGAATCTCATTTTTTAAATTTAATACTTTCAATTTATTGTCATTTATGCCCCTTTAAATTGAACTGTCCGATTCTTCCTCAGGTTCGACGATTTATCATCTCTGTTATACACCGTTAATGTAATAAAATCTTCTTTACACAGTTCTTTCTTTGCACAGCTTTCGTCTTCTTTTCCATAAGTACGCGTCCACCTTTTGAAAAAGAGATTCAGATGTACACTTTCGCGAGTCACCGTGTCCACGGAAATTCTTGAGAAGATTGTCGAGAAAGAACAAGCATTAATTAATCGTCTTGAACAAATGATCCATTATGAGACTCGGCGTGCTGTTACACTCCTCTGTCAAGTGCATTCCGGCCAATTGAAAACGGTAGCCATGTCGTTTCAATATCCTCAATGAAGAACAATATGCCGGCAGCTGGCTATTGTTCGACACGGCAATAATCGGATGCGATGTCGTTAATTAATCAGCGCCGAAACGATTTCCCTTTGACGCGTGTTTCACAATGCAAGCGCGCGCCAGTGTCGAATTAATTAGACCAACACGAAGGAACCGGTTCTTTTTGCGTCGGCAAAGTAAAAAATTAGAACACGGCAGTACGATGTTACACGACCGTGATAATTATGATAATTAAGTTCAATCTGATATTTATTTCTGGCAATATCGAAGGTTACTAAATTATTGATGCGTTGAGAAATATGATCAACGTAGTAACACGCTCATTTATATTTTACGTCTGTTGTATTAAATATATTTACAAGAATTCTTTATACCGAAGAATGCTCATCAAAGCACTTATATTGTATATTTTATACAATTTGCTGCGAATAAATTCATTTTCTATATTCGTATAACAGATCAAATTTAAGATCGAGTTTAAATTATCTGGTAACAAAATTTGACACGAAATATCTTGGTCTTGTCAGCAGTTTTCGTTATTTGTTATATTTTAAGAATTTCTTATTTTTGGAATCTTATTGTAGAATTCAGGAACGACCGAGGAAATTTAATCAACCAATAACGAAAATGAATGAGAAAGCACAGAAGTAGAACAATTTTAAGCATCAGTTTTAATTACAATAACTTTGCATTCTGCAAGGGAAATTTGTTCTCTCCAAAATTCTAACAGCTTGATAATCGAACAATCAGATGAATTTTTCCCGAGAGTTTTATATCGATTCCCACTCCCGTTCCAGATAATTAATCATGCCGGTGGTGCCAGCTTTGGCGGATGGTGCCGGCCAACTGGAGGACCTTGACGAGCCCCCAGAGCCTCGTGTACGCGGTGGAAGCGGAAGAGCTAGCCTGATGAAGCCGTTGGTCGTTCTCGCGCTTCCTGGCATGTATCTTTTCTACAAGTACAGCCAATACAGGAGGGAACAACGCGAATTGTCTCGGAGACGTGTCACCGAGAGGGAACTTCAGCATCTTCATCACAAGATCGTGAGTAATTTCGGACTTGATCCGACTACTGATGTCTAGTGAAAAATGAATTTAATATGCTTCCTCGACGTAATCTTTGAAATAGGTTTTTTTTTTTTTAATGTTATGATTAAGAGAAGAGAAAATAGATTGTATTGATGTGGTGAGATCAAACTTTCAGAAAATGACGTTTAAATTAATATATATATATATTCGAATATTAAATTAACTCAAATGAAAGATATACTTATGAAAGAAAAATAAATATTGGATGTTTATAAAATATCATTTTGGCAGACATCAGTACTATTCATTAAATTATAATTATAATTAAATTATAATTATATCTTCAAATCGCTAAAAATACAGATTCCAGGTGTATGAATTCCTTTTTCCAAGCGACACAAGTCACAGAAATACATGTCTGTCGTGAAATATTGTATCTTACTTTTGTTACACGATCAGGAACAATAAGTATCTTCGATGAGAAGAACCGAGTAATCCAGAATTGAATTAAATCATAATCTTTTTACGTCGACTTTCTGATCCTACCTGTTGTGGCTTCTCCACGGTTCTGTCTCTCTGCATAAAGATCACATCGTTCGAAATAGCGCCAGAATGCCTCATCGGGCGGTCATTATATTTTCATGGAGTTTCGAAAACCGGAGAGAACGCTTCCCTAAATAACCGAAGAAGCTTCTCATCGATTCTCTTCTTTCAATGAACCTGTGTGCCCTCTCGCGTACAGACGTGTTGCGCCGTTGTTAAGAAGCTTTCAAGACATTCTCACTATGATTACCGGAGAGACGACAACCGAGGACCGAGGCGTATCTAAACACATGATATCCGAGAAAGTAGACTCGAAAGGACGATGTACAGGAGCTGCACTGTAGGGAAGCACGATAGAGGGAAGAAGGGTTCAATTACCCGAGGTTAACGCGATCATCGCTCACTGGAAAGCCTCTGGTAACACCTCCGAAAGGCTAAAGCCATTTATTACTGTATACTTCGAGACCGTATTGAATGTCCTGCTTTGCTGGATCTATCCTCCCGTTTTATACATCTAGACATATCTTTTTTATCGGTTCTTCCTGTGCAGTTTCCGAGATTTCTTTTCTTGGGAAATAGAGGTACAGAATTATTGGACAATTGGATCAGTTATATATATATATTTTAAATTAGATTTATAGAATTGTGGAAAATTTAGGATTTGTCAGGCTTGTGGGAAATCTCGAGGTCTTTTGTAGATTATGTGAAAGTTGGAAGCACAGTTTAGAATTTGTAAGAGATTCCGAAGCATAAGAATTGAAAAATTCATTGGATTTATGGATTTGTGGGAAATTTGGTAGTGTAGGAATTCGAAGTTTGAAAAATTTAAAATCTGTAACACTCGGTTAATCTGAACGTAACGTAACTTCTTCTCGAAATTTTTAAATCACATCAAATTTCGATACTCAAAATCCAACGAAACCGACACTCTTTCACACTCTAGATATCAAGAATCAATTCTATTCCCAAAATAACATCGTGCTTTCAAAAAATATCACATCGAAGACTTTTTACAGTCGCAGATTTCGCTGTTTTCAACGCACTTGATCACCCAGCCAAGTCTTCGATTCGTATCGTGCTACGATCGTACATCAGAGATTCAATTTCTTCTGCTCCCCTTTAAAGAACCAAGCACATATTATCTTGTCTGTTCTTGAACACGCGCCCAACGGCGCTTTATGACGGCAATTTGTCACTCTCTTAATACTCCAACCGAGTTTTCTACATCCAGAGACAATTATCGTCAGGTCACCTTGGAAAATTGCCTTCGTCGAAACCGGTGGTGGTTGAGTAGGTCAGTCGCAGATTTGGCATGGTCCGTGGAAAATGAAAATGGAAAAAGTGTCCCTGTCAGGATGGCTGCCAAGCAGCAATATTCACGGTCTGCGGATCGACTGGTCGGATAGCCTGGATATTTGGTCTGGTTAGTATGACCAACATTTCTGTCCCACCTAACTGGAATTTCTCGGATCCATTTAGCCACTGTCACAATTCTGATTTACTGCGTCTCCTCCTCTCTTTCTCTCTCTCTCTCTCTCTCTCTTTCTCTTTCTCTTTCTCTTTCTCTTTCTCTTTCTCTTTCTCTCTCGATTCCGCCGGTCCCTATCGGTGACTGGTAACAAGGAATATTTCTATCGGTACGAGTGTTCGATTCGTGCGAGTATTATTCGGACGATTTAACTGGTGGAAAAGGGGACATGGTTTTGAATTAGATTGTTTGATATTTTAAAATTCGATCATGAATTTTTCATGGAATATGGAAACTTGGGTAGGTTTTTTATGTATTTGTAGGGAATTACGAATGTAATATCTTTCCATTATTTACGAAATTATAAATTTTTTAATAGTGCTATTGATATTAGAATCTATATAAAATAAAGCAATTCAGCTTTCTAAAATTATGTTTCTCTTGCAATTTTTATATCATTTTTTTTTAAATGAATGAAAAACGTGAATGCAATGTCACGTTGAATCTATTATAAAGTTAAAGGAATGCTCGGTTTTCCACAATTGTCACACTCGTGTTACATACGTTATTATATCGACGTGGTGAATGTTTGACATTTTACGTATCGGCTGCAGCAATGCGAAAGGGCAAGAAAAAAGAAATACAGTTAGAAAAAATAATATCGGAAATTGACAAACTAAAATATTCTACGACAACAGTATTTAATTTTATTACATCTTTGCTATCTTTCAAGCTGTACTAATTATCTGTCAGACATCATTGTGAAGCACCAAATATCATATTTGTAATTTTACAAATTTATAAATATACCATTTATTGTGGTCATAATATTAAAATAGTATAATAAATATTAATATCGTATTTGCATTAATATCATAATATGATATTGATCACGCTACTAATACTGTTAATGTTAATATTGATATTTGTTATACTTAATTAATATTAATAGTATATTAACACTCTATATTAATACTTTCCAAGTTTCACTGATGTAACCTACGTTAGCCGTACCCCGTTATAGTTTCAACGAAATTTGAGGCCGTTTCATGTAACTCGCATATACATATATTCATAAAAGTTCTCCACGGGTCTTATAGTCTTTGACACTTGTAAGAGGACCAATTTATGAAAAAAAAAAAAAAATGAAGAGTTAATTAAGCTCCTTCAGTCACGAAACTTGGAAAGGGAAATCGAATTGCCTGTGGACCGGTTGCTGGAACTCGCGTGTCGGTAAACGACAACCGGAGAGCCTTGGAATTTTTCCGAGCTTATCGCAATATCCAGCGAACCGCGACCTTAATAACAAGCCTGATGATCATTAATGACTGTAACGGATTAGCAGATTCTCGGCAATATTGTTGCCGCGGGCCTTGCCTTTTATGCTTTTTAAAATATTCTAAACGTGGTCGCGTGCGACCAAACGCTCGAAAGCGAAGTTGGAGTATTGGTCGAGGAATGGGTCTTGACCTTGCATGTGTAGACGCCCTGGCATTGATCATTTCGCCACGTGAATTGACCAATCGTCGAACAGAGCCACAGAGTCATAGCCACGATCATAGCAGTCGTAGTCATAGACATTCGTACAAGCGTCAAGTTGATATTTATGTTTCCTCGAAGTTGTCAAACAGAGATACCGAGAATTTTTAGTATCAGTAGTTTTTATATATCAGTTTGATCATCGTTTCAAGATTATCGGCAAATACTCCAAATTTCAATACGTATCTATTGATATTTTTGATTGAGTACTTCGAATGTGATGAATTGCTTTAAAGAATTGTGTGTGGTTCAGTTGTATTGAAAAATACCTATATCATTATATTAGGGAAAAATTAAATGATTTTAAGGAGGGTGAAATTAATTTTTTCATAGATGAGTCTATAGAAATCGTATGAATGACTAATTTGAATAATCTTAAGCAAAATTAATTTCTTTCCAAATATAATAGATTAACATATAAGAATTGAACGTGTTTCTTAAAGTCGAGATATTAAAGTTTACTGTATTTTACGAAAGTAACTCTAATCATTCAATGTTTACGCCCGTGTATACGAGTGACTAAGTACATAGAAACGTCCAGTCTGTGTAAGATACCACGATAGTGATAGGGTATAGAGCCAACACATTCACCGTTTGGTGGTTTGATTTGGTTACTGATATTATCCAGTCGAGAGGCTATAATATACTTTGTTAACATCAATTCCAGTATGTACATTATTTACTTCAGTCAAAAAGAAATCTGAGCATTAGATAATTAATACTGACTGGTTGCGAGACTGTTAGTCGTTTTACTCTGTTTTTTTTTCATTATATTAAATTTTATTTTGTTCTGTCCTCTTTATCTATTTACACACATTTTTATTTATATATTTATAATCATTTCACTCTGCACATATTTCTTGAAATTCCTTGATTTCAGTTTAGCACATGTTATTCCATCTCTATTTATATATTATATGTTAATGGGATAATGATCAATATGAATCCAAGTTTCATGAATTGCTTTCCAATCGTGCAACGATTAAACCAACTTTTAAGAATCATTTACGTACACATATGTATGCCGGCATCGCTTTTGGATCTTGAACAAACCACGAGGCTTGATCCTGAAACTTCAACCTTGGCAGTAACACGTGCAACTGGCCAAGTAAAAGTTGCTGGAAAGTCAAGTCCTTCCTTCTTGCCGGTTCGAAGGACTTCGTAACTTAACCGGTAGCTAGACGTCGTGCCAGATAAGGTGCACGCCAACTCCGCGTTAAGATCGCCATCACCTGGTGTACGTGAACCTTAACGTCGTTCATCTAACTTGCCTGAATATCATCGTTACGCGAAGAAGCAAACTCGTTTTTCTTCCCATTAACGGTCAATTAATTATGGTAGAGTTCCCCGTATCTTTTAACTCCCTGTTATCTCAGATATGGAAGGCTTTAGGTTAGTTGTTGAAGAGAAGAAAAGTGTGTTTTCTCCTTTTTCTCTGTATAGTAGAGGTGCTTCTTTGCCATTC